TGAACCAAAAGACAAAATTGCCGAAGTACAATACCTTTGATGGGTGTTCAGAAAAAATTAACCCCCGAGCAACTTCGTAAACCGGTGTTTGCGCAAACGAGATGGCCGACAAAATCACATCGACCTCAAATTTTGGCGAGCGATTCCGTACGTCAAAAACTTATCGGAGGCCGTCGGCCGCCTTCTCGCACCACTTGGAGTTGGAGTCCCACACAGGCCGGAGGCAACCATAAGGTGTCAGGTAATGAAACCGGAAGACCAACTGCCACGGCAAGAAACATCTGGAATCGTCTACAGGATCTGGTGCAGTTGCAGACAAAGCAACTATGTCGGAGAAATGGGCAGACTTCTGAAGACGCGAATTGCCAAACACGCAGCAGAAGTGCGGCGAAATGCTGTCAATTCTCAAGATGCGGCTCAATCGACGAGACCCGACCACACGTTCAAATTTAATGAGGCCGAAATTCTCGCTAGAGGTGACAATCGTGTGGGCCGAAGGTTACTTAAATCATGGTTCACGGGCCCCCAATCCATAAACGAGTGCAATGATTTGGCAGACCTATATACGGTGCTGAGGCTCAATTTGGCCAAAGCAAGTCGCCATTTGGGAACGCACAGGCCACCGCGTCGTCTTTGGCCAACACCGGGGAGCCGGATGGCCGAGCAATCATCACGCCCAAGTCCACCACGCGTGATGAAAGTTCAGCAAGTCAGAGCCGGCATGCCGGCCAACAAGCTATCAACGCAAAGGAGGCAATTATCGTGAATTGTTGTTATACGTTTGCGGGAACGACTGTGTCCTATAAATACTGCAAATTATTGTGCACAAATTACTTGGTTCTGCTACTGCTTTCTGTTTATGGTTCTGATGATGAATCCGTGATGGATGTCGAAACCTCGTGCGAATATAAGTGTTTTCCCAGCGATCGAATCTTCTTCTTCTTCTTTTTCTTCTTTGAGTCTGTTTTTTATGGCTGGCTTCGACTACTCTATTTTTACATCACTGAAAAAGCCCAGTACAGTTTAAATCTTTTCAGCTAAAAAGAAACAACAATTATGTACGGCAGAGGAAGCGGAGGATCCGGATGAACAAATTGGAAAAAAGAGGTGGCGAAATCACATTTGCAGCCAGTTTCTGTGAACACCTACGGATTCTTGGATGGGATGGAGAAGTGCACAGAAACGTTCCTCAGTTGAGTATTACATAGAGACGAAAGTGGTTAGGATCATTCTGGAAGATACGAAATTCGACAGCTGAGTTAAACCTCCCCACACACAGCCACCACACCACATCCTCTTCCGCAAACGATACAAGGCGTGGTGCAATGGAAGGGGTTGAAGGACACACATCAGATAATAAAGGGAAGAAAAAGCAAATCAAACTCATCAGTGAGGAACATAGAGATATGGCGCCGGGGGCGGGGCAGGACAGGTACGAAAAAAAACACCTATCAGCAATTCATCCTAGAAGACGAATAGTACGAAGAGGAAGAAGAAATACCGAGAAAAAGAAAAGCAGACAGCCCCTATGTTGCGTGTGTGTGTATGTCTGTCCGAGTTTAATCCGCTGGCAGGTGGGGGGCGGCTTATTTACCATCTTTTGGCAGATATGAATGTGGAACAAAGGGGCGTAAGGAAGTTGGTGAGGAGGGGGGGGGCTGTACGGACGAATCAATGTGTGGACGTCTTCCAGAGCAAAAAGGCCCATCCCTGAACCTTAAAGTGCAGCAGTTGGTCTTTCATGCTGGCGATGTTACTACCATAGGCTCCAGGTCCGGCAATTACCTGCCACACGGGACCATAATGTTCATCCATTGATTTCTTCAAACAAGCCGCCACATCTACCGGCACTCTGTAGGACTTCAGGGCCGACACTGCAAAGCCCACCACCACCTTCTTGTCCGGTGCCACCAACGCGGTTTCCTCGTCGTCTTCACTGTCTGCACCATTGATGTACTCGGAGCTGGCATCAATGAGGTCTACGTAGTCGATGGGGAAGCCATCCTCTCGGGTAACCTCGCCGTGGAGTGCGCTGCCTGGTGACTGCATGTTCCAGGCTGACTCCTGTGTGATGTTAGTTTTGGTGCTGCGTAGGTATGAGCTGCTGACCCCGTCGCCACCACTGATGTCCACGCCGGGTGAGGGACTCATCTGCGCGTTCTGTACCGGAATATTAATTGCACCGAGGGGTTTCTCTGGATAATCTTCGGCTGCGGATAGAGGCACCCGCTTGAGCGTAGACTGAGCAGTTTCCATGCGCTTCTCCTGTGCGAGCTGCATACCCATATTCCTTGTGAGGGTGACTGGCTCCGAGGCGTTGGGACCATTGCCCTCGCTCGACCAACCCTCCTGTTCAAAGTTGAAAACTCGCGATTGCCGTCTCGAGGGTTGATGTTGCCCATGCGGACAGCAGATGCAGTGGTAATTACTGAGCGGCCGTTGAAACAGCAGTGTCGGATAGGGCGTTTGCATCATCGGGGTCCAGGCTGATGCGGGTCCCATTGTCATTGGCGGACGCGGTGGCTTTCCGCGTTGTGGTGCAAAACGACGCGGCAGAGAGTAGTAGCTATTCGCCACCGCCGGTGAGGCCAGATAGGGTATGGTGGGCATCAACACCGGTCCACCAAACTCCTCTGGTTGCAATGG